AAGTTCTTTCTTTTTTAGCGATAAAACTTATTTAGATTTGGTGTTATTGCTTAGATACGGTTAACAGTCTATAAAGTAGGCGCCTAGCGACAGACAGGTCGGTGCCAAGTAGTTGTATATAAAAACTGAACAGATAGACATTTAACCAGAGACAGATTGACAAAGACAGTTTGAAAAATAGTCAGTGAAATATAGTTAGTCAAATAGACCAATCATAAAATAGACAAATAAGCCAAAAAAGGACAACGGAAATGAGTACTTGTCACAAACTTTGATTTTCTAACCCTTATATCTTGCAACTCGATGTCGTAGACTTTTGAAATTTCACACAGTGAATTCTGTTAGATCAACGAGCCTAAGTTTGAAAAAGTTGCAAAGATATCGGGATTAAACATTTTAGTTTGTGACAAGATGGGATTTCTTAAATTAATAAAAAATTGCTAATAATCAAAATCGAAGAAAAGATATAAAACGACTTCTGTGTAGATAAAAATAGACTGGTACTAGTAGACTATTGTTAGTAAATTTCTAGACAGAAAGACCGATAAAATATTTAAGTGTATACACGGTAATTGAAAAGTATGATTATTTTTTGTCACAGAGTATTAAAGGGACTGACCGGCAAGTGTATAGTAGTTGAATCGAAATTGTAGAATTGTGGAGAAATTTTTTAGGATTCATTTTAGACATATAAAACGTTTTAATTATGTATAATTACTAAGTTTATATATTAGAATCAATTATTTCTCTTCAATCATATTATTGAATTTCTTATTCTTTAAGAATTTGTTTGCAGATTTCTTCAAATTCTTCAAATGTCGTTTTTTTCAAAAAAAATTCAACAAATCAACAGAAAATGTTTGTGAACAATGAGACATTACAGAAACCAATAACTGAATAAGATTACTTATTTTCGATGATAATATTTAATTTTATTTTCTCAACCTTTTCCTAAGCAAACAATTAGTTTATTAGTGTTTTTACTACATTTTTCATCGCCGTTCCTGGAAAGTTTTTTAAAAACCGATTTTCAAAATCATCCCTCAAAAATGAACAACCTATAAGGATTTTAAAGATTGAATGTGCGCTCTTGCTGAACCGATATCATCATATGCACCGTAAAAACGTCTCATAGGTTTCTAATGATTCCTAAGATATTTCTCCATAATATTATATTCTCATTTCAGGTTATTATAGCAATATAATGAAGACGACGTTCGATTTCAAATGTTATAAATATCTAGCTTATAAAAAGCATTGATAAACAAAAACATCGAAACAAAGAGAAATTGTCAATACAAAAAGCTTCTCTTTAATTACTTGTTAACTTGTAATTCGAATAAAAACTTGAATAAAAAAGTCGTCTTCATTATATTGATATTATCGCCTACCACCGTACCATACATTGCCGGTCACTCCCATTAAAGGATCGAAGATAGATAGATAAATAGATAGGAAACTTCGATGGTATTTTGTTTCTGCTCTGCACCAGAGTCAGTTGTTTTCAGTTTTCTTCAACTTGAATTCAGTCACATTTTCTTCTATAACTTAACAATCTTTGAATTCCCAAAGTTGACTATTCCTACAGACAAAAAGTATGAAAAAATTAAATAATAATTTTCTAATGGTCCTTTTGGGATGGAAAGTGACAGATTATTAGGACAAGGACCGAACAGATAAATCAATGTAAATTCCAGGTTCTTGTTTCCAGATATCTGTAACCAGGACACCTAAAATCAGGAACCAGGAACCAGTAACTTGGAATTAGCATCTAGTAAACGAGAACCAGGAAACCTTGAACCTGGAAACTGGAACCAGGAAACAGGAAACAGGAGACAGGAACCAAGAAATAGATACAAGGAAACGAGAACAAGGAACCCTTGAACCTGGAGACTGGAACCAGGAAACAAGAAACAGGAACCAAGAAATAGATACAAAGAAACAGGAACCAGAATTCAAAAACATGCTAGCTAGAACCAGGAAACCTCCGGAAACCTGGAACTTGGAACAGAGAAACAAGAACCAGGAACCAGGAACCGGGAACCAGGAACCGGGAACCAGGAACCGGGAACCAGGAACCTGGAACCCTAAAACAGGAACCAGGAACCAGAATCTGGAAACAGGTTCCTGGTTCCAGGTTCCTTGGCATTATAGCATTAAGCTTGAATAGTAAACCTGCTTCTTCATACAGCCCCCCCCCATCAGTTGCAACATTAAATTTTGCAAATTTTGCAGATGCACAATTTAAATAAACTTTTGCATTTGGGTTCAATAATTGTTGCTAAGCTAGATAAAAAGATGCAATGGTAGGGAAAAGCATTAAATAATTACTAATCCTTTTGTAGTCTAGTTTTTTTACACAATTTAACTTTAAAGTAAAAAACATCCTGCTAGATTTACAGGTTGATAAAATAAAGGAATTTTAAAATTTTGCCAAATACTTTTTCTGCTTATCTAATTTCTTATGTTCTGCTTTTTGATTTCAATTCAATTTTTTTGAATGGAGTATTTTAAAAGCTATCATTTCAATATTCATTTAAATAAATAGAAAATTGATCTGTCAATTATTTTTACTAATTTTTCAAGAAAGTAGAAATAAAGTTTGTACACTTGCCTTTCTTAACATTTTTTGACTTTAAAGAAAATCATTCAACAAAGATTTTGGCTCTGAAAAAATCCAAAAGAACCAGAAATGAGATCTTTCTAAAAGAAAGTATAACGCAAATCGAATGATAAACCAATGTTGAAAACATTATTTTTTTAATACAAGAGAAGAAAATTAAACATAATCGTATCACAAAAATAAAAAAAAATTACGTTTTAGTATTTGTTTATATACGTTTACTGTATTTATGTACAAACTTTTTTTTTACTTTTCTGTCTGTAGCCTATTTTTTGTGATTTTCGCAAATTTATCCGTTTTCATCTATTTATGCTTTTAGATATTTTCTACTAAAGGAAAAAACCTGCAATGATGTCTTTAAAATCAATAAAAATAACGTGATCTTTTTTTCCAAGAAAATAATAATCTAATCTTCCTTTATTGAAAGAAAAATGATTAAGTTCTCAAAAATGGTATTTTTCCTTACGGCGCAGTTTGTAAATAGTATCTACGTCTTATTTTTTTCTGATACGATCAACATCAGGTGTTTTCTCTGGCATCAGGTTTTGGACTTGCAGAAAATTGATTGATTGATTGAACACTTTTTGAACAAAGTACAGCAATAACTAGAAAACTGTGTAATAGAAAGACGACATTAATGGAATTCTGAAGTTGTTACAAAGAAAATAGTTTTATTAGTAACTCATTAAATCACTTATTAAGAAGAATGGGTCTGTTTACTCTGAACAATGTTAATTGAACTTTTTAAAGTCATAACTTGAGTCTAAAAGTCGTCTTCTTATTACAGAGTTTTTTGGTTCTCATTGTAAATAATGAATAGGTTGATTTTATTCGAAATTACCGTTACAACTTTGCGACTTTGCAATTCCTTTAGTTTGTTTTCTTTTTACAATTATTTAATTTGTGGACATCACTCCAATAAAACGAAACATTTTTAGTTTTCTAAATCAGCATTTGTAAATTGTTGACTGTCTTTGTTTGTGTCCAATTGCTAGCTGGTCAGTTTTAAAAATTCAACAATAAAACAAGAACAGTCACTTTATTCGCGTCTATAGTTAAATTATCTAAATAGTTATACATTTGTTTTCAGAAAATGATAATTTGATTTTACCGCATTTTGCTTAAAGGGACAGTAAAGGAAAAATGAAAGGGGGTATAGGCTGAAAGCTAATCACTTTAGCTTTTAATATATATATAATTTTTACATATAATNGATAGATAGATAGATAGATAGATAGATAGATAGATAGATAGATAGATAGATAGATAGATAGATAGATAGATAGATAGATAGATAGATAGATAGATAGATTGATATAATTGAACGAGCTAGTCAAGGTTATTCACTGCAGATTGTACAGAATTCCAGTCTACGGACGTTAACCCTAGACAGAGATACGGACAATGCAGAATAAAGATCAACACTTCTGTAACCTAAATTAAAGGGACTGAAAACCTAAATTAAAGGGAATGATCACGTATTTAAAAAGTGGCCATAGCTCTCTTTGGAAAGTGTCATAGAAGCAATATGATTATTTTAGACCCTTACAAAGTTAACAAAACTGATAATGTATTTTTCTCCAAACCAGAGCTTTAATGAATTAGTCTTAATTTCTACAGTGTCCATCAGGAAACATCTTATACAATTTTTCCATTATTGGATAAAATAGATCTGTGAGTATCGTTTTGCATTTTGTTATTCTGGAGCATTAAGGCTTCGGAGTTAAATGAACTGATTAGTTTTGTTAAGTTTGCATATTTCTTACATTTTTTGTCCCACTTTGATCATAAAAAAAAAACATTATAAGTAATTAATGTTGGATTAATGTTTATTATTCAAAATTTAACAGGTTACAATTGATTGATTAATGTACGTTATTATTAAAAATAATAATTTATTTTTTCACTGCAAAGAAAACAAAACATGATTTGGTTTCAAAATACTGGAGTTGTGTCACTGCAAACTAGACACAAAAGGAGAAGGTCAAATTCATGCGACGTTACTGGTACAATTTTGTGATTTCGTAGCTCCTCTAGTTTTGATTTTAATATTTTTAAAAATCTAGTTTTTTTTAAAATTCAAGAGGTTTTCTTCTTCTTCTAAATAGTTGTTTAATAGGACGAGGTTTGATTGAAAATATGTAAGATTTCAACCTCACGTCCAATATTTAGTTTACCGTGGTGTAGTGGTTGAATGAATAAATGAATGAATATTATAATTGAAATGTTGGGTTAAGAATATGAAAAGTGTAGAGGATAAATGTAATGTATGCATGGAGGCCTTACAGCTAGGATGACGTAGACATTGCGTCTTTTTACAGAGAGGCGGGGGGGGGGGGATGGCGGGTTTGGCGGGGGTGGCGGTGATCTGTAGATTATGATTAAACTATCGCATATTTCTGGGTTCACTTGTTAAAGGTCAATTGTACTTTCACAGATTTTAGCATTCACATATTATTCTGCAACTCTTGAGTCAGCTACAATTTTGCAAAGTAAAGGACGGGCTGGAACGACTATCTATCTATCTGTGAGTATCTATCTATCTATTTGTTATACTGCGGAGGCACTGAACCCTACACCAGTCGTTAGTTCGCTCTCAGACGGAAACAGTACTTTGAGCTAGACAGTTGTAGTCCAAACCCTAGAGAGAGAACCAAGTACATTGAATCACCAGGGTTCAAAGTTACTAACCCAGTAAACTCTAGTTTATTAAATATGTGTGCTACTAGTGAGAAATCGACCCCTATGGAGACAGAAAATGAAGCATTGAACAGTCTGGAGACGGAATCCTGTATGTCTTGTGCTGATAAGCGTAAGACAGACGAGATGAAGAGATCACATCCACTTCTACCCTTTGAGCAAGCGTACAAAGTTGGAGATGTTCTGGGTAAAGGAGGGTTTGGAGTTGTCTACGCCGGAATCCGAACCAGAGATTCTAAACCTGTTGCAATTAAACATGTCGCAAAGGCAAGAGTGACCGAATGGTCGACTCTCTGTGGGCGAACTGTTCCACTTGAGCTTAAACTTCTTCATTCAGTTCAATCCGTCCCTGGAGTTATTAAACTCTTGGACTTCTATGAACGTCGGGATTCCTATATTTACGTTCTAGAGCGCTCAATGCACTCCAAGGATCTCTTCGACTTCATAACAGAGAAGCGGGCTCTTCACGAAGAAGTTGCCAAGAACTTCTTTCAGCAAGTAGTAGGAACAGTGCTCGCGTGCTACGCCCGAGGAATCGTACATCGAGATATTAAGGATGAAAATCTGCTGGTTGATGTGAGGACCGGAGAACTTAAACTCATTGATTTCGGCTCCGGAGCTTTTCTGAAGGATGAACCCTACACTGAATACGATGGTGAGTTTGAACATTATTTAGTTTTTTTTAAATAAACTTTTAAAACATATTTTTCTATCTTTTTTTCCTTACAGACAGCAAAAAAGATAAGTTATTATTCATCCTTACCATATAAAAGAATATTTATTTTATGACGCAGATTAAGAAAATGCATTTACGTTTTATTTTTTCAATACAAACTTAAAGAAATCGATGAATCAATGAGGGAGGTTTATTACGACTTTCTAACCTTAAAGAATTAGAGAAGTAAACATTCAATTATAAAGATGTCTTTAAAATATAATTTTTATCCTAAACTAAACTGTAATGAAATGTGTTTTAGTGGAATTTGATGTGTTTAAATTAACTTTTAAACAAAAATAATTATAAACTTTAGTTTGAAGGGACTGTAGAGTGTAGACACTGTTTCAAAACCTCCCATCTATAAGTGATAGGTCAGATTCACAAGAGTACCATTGAAAGGTTTGACAAAGAATGCATGATATGTCTGTCATTCTGTAAGAATACCTGAAAAAGTGTGAACAGTCCCATTGATGTGGTAAAGCCGTGGTTAGTCTGCTAAGTATATTAACAAGGATAAACTGGCAATATATGGCTGCAGACTTCTAATACTACTTCTGAAGTTCTGGTGCAGTTTCATCAACAGAGAATAATATTCAAGATTGTTTCTCAGACTTATCTCTTACAGGGACTGTATGGGAAATTTCAAGTGTCAATTCCCGATTCACAACGGTATCCTTTTACGCTTTATCTGATCTAGCAGGAATAAGTAACGTTGTTATTGATTTTGAAAACTGATTATCTTTGTGTGGAGATTAACTTGAAATTACGCGCATAGTCCCTGAAAGGAAAAAATTAATAATCAGAAAGAAATTAATTACTCCAATCATAATTCATAATTCAAACATTGACTATTTGATCTGGCAGAATTTATAGCTTAAAATATTTAAGGTTTACGATATAAGGTTTCAAAGATATAAGGATTATCTAAGAGTTTGCTCTGAGTGGTCCAAAGGTTGCAACTTGCAAGCTCTCAAGCTTACATCTATAACGAGAAACTTCTTCAAAACAAAAGCTATAAACAAGTGCTTTACAGATCTTAAATGTATCTTCATGTCTAAGGCGTCAAAAACAACCCTATTCCGGCTGGGGGGGGGGGGTCCCTCCCCCATAACGTTTTTTGGAGATAACTAAAAAAGTATTTCTAACTAACACATGCTCCTCAGTCCTCACTATAGGCTCACAGTGGGACTTTAATACCTACTGCCTGAGTCCTCAGGCAAAATGCCTTGAATGCCTTATTTGTGCACAGATGCCTTTGAAGAAAATTTACACATTTTAAGTTATCCTAATAAATGATTTTAGTTTTTTGAAAATTTTGCAAATATTTTTGCATATTTAAATTTGCCGTGGCAAAGGTTTTTTTAAATGTATAATTTATCATATTTCGCGCACTTTTTGTTTTTGCTCATTTTTTGCTTAATAACTTGATATTGCAATAAATATTATAAATTTAGCAAATATGAAATGTTTTTGCAGATTATTAAAGTAAAGCCTAAGGGCATTCTAAAAATATTTCAAATGTTATAGATTTGTTTCACAATTAGGAAATAGAAGGAGGGGGGGGTGGTNCCCTCAAAAAAAACTATTTTGGGTAAACCAGACGTCTGCCTGATAAGAATTAAAAAAGAGTTAGTAAGTTAAAATCAAAGGACAATGCGTTGTGAAACTTTAACTTTGACCCAGTCTTAAAAATTGATGCATCAACTTTTCATAACAGTCTTGATCTGTGGTGCCGCGATAAAATATTCCTTTTTTATATTTTCAAAGTATATTGTAAGGTTAAGTATGAGAAACAGTTTTTTTTTCTTTTTTTAGATTTTACTGCTTTTTTAATGTGATTAAAATTTCTTTTAATTTTTTTTGTCTTTTTAAAGCTTTGAATTCATTCTCTTGCACCTATGTTTTTCGTGTATTTTGTTTGCATCAAAATCATACTTTCAGAAAATATATGTATTTTTATCATATTGTCCTTAACTTGTAAAAAATATATTTTCCACGAGTGACGACGTGACGTGAGCTTTATAAATCTTGACAGATTTCCTTTGAAGGTTAAAAATAATATTATTAAGTCATATTTTCCTTGTAATATTTGACGTAAACAATCTCAAGTGAGTCATAATTCGCCAGAAAGTATCATTTTGAGTGCATCACAGTAACCTCTCAAGAAAACAGTGATTAATTGCATTTTTATAAATCTAAAGAAAGAATATTCCGGATTTTCATGGAAATTTTACATTTCGGCGTAGATAAATTTTTTAACTATCTTAACAGATTTGCAAAAAGAATTTATCTAAATGTGCGACGTAATTTCAACTTCTATTTTTTATAGAAAAATATATAAATGATAGATAAATACATTAATAGTTAATCAGATAAGCAGATGAATAGACAAAAAATATAGATTAGCAGATAGGTAGATAAAAAAAATCCGGCAAATAGTCAAAAAGATAAACAAATGAATAAGATAGATAAAGGATAAATGATAAATACATACTATAGATGAATACACAAATATATAAATAAATTAATAAATAAATAGACAAATATGGAAATAGAAAATAGATAAATAGATAAAAATAAGTGGATAGATATATAATCAGACAAATAGAAAATTAGATAAAAGAGATGAATAAATAAATAAAATTATAAATGGAGTAAATAACTGAAAAATGATAGATGAAAAGCTAAATTAATAACGAATAAAAATGATAAATATACAAATAGATGAATTAATAGAAAGATAACTAGCTTCACAGCAAACAGGGTTAAAGTTTCAACAGACAGTGAGATAGATAGATAGATAGATAGATAGATAGATAGATAGATAGATAGATAGATAGATAGATAGATAGATAGATAGATAGATAGATAAGCATGAATACGCCCCTGGAATTCATGAATTATCAAAGTACATCCAATGTAATTTACCATCAGGACAAGCTTTTAATCCTTTCATTTTTATGTCTTCATATTAATGTGTCTGTGCAGTAAAGTAAAGATATTACATGGTGCCCTGAATACATTTTGGTTAGATATTGGATAATTGTATTTGATTCATTTATTGCCTTAACAAAAACCAAATATCTATTCCAATTGAAGCAAATAAATCCAAAAGAATATAAATTTTTTTCACTATAACAATTTCGTCTAAAAAAATAATTCTAACGTACTTGTTGCCTGTCTAGTTATACAATTTTTATATTTGAAAAATAAAAAATTTGCATTAATATTTTATTTGTTTTTGTTTCAGGTGAGGTTTAGAAAGATTGTTACCCGTGAGTGCCAAGACCTAATACAGAGCTGTTTAACCCTAAACCCCTTGGAGCGCCTGCCCCTTGAATCTATTCTTTCACACCCTTGGTTCCATGTTAAACTTCCCCCTCAATACTCACCCCTGGACCTGTCTACACAGTATATCAATATACCCAAGAAGAAGCAGGCTGAGATCCCGCAGGGGTCGATATAAACCTTGGCACCTCCAGGGGGGGGAGTTCAACATTGCACCCATCAACCCCTATACATATCACCAAATATACTTTCTGTGGTAAAAACCGTTTTGTGAGAAGTGTGAACCTATAATTGCTGGAAACCAAAGATTCATGTTTCGTAGATTTTTCTGTTTCAGCCATTTTGGAAATTTTTCTTATGTTTTGTATGATTCTTATAAAGTATAGTCCTCCTTAAAAACAATACTATTATGTTCCTTGTGTTGATCTCAGTAATTATTATTATTATTATTATTATTATTATCATTAATTGTAATATAGCCAATCCGGAGAGATTAAAACACGTTGCCGTCACATCTTTATAAACTTTCAGCTGTTAATTAAATATGGAAACCCCATATTATTATCTTTTAAAACAAATTTATCCAAAACAGACAAATTAAATCAGATATCATTTGAATTAGCCTAATCAGGCTAGTTTAGCTATTTTCAACTACGCTTTTATATCTATCAAGCGTGATATGTTTAGCTATTCAAATCTAATCCTGGTGACAAATTTTAAAAATAACAAAACTTGACATAAACACCCTGTATCCCCGAAACAATAGTACATATTTATACGTGTATGTACTATGTACATTGCACAGCTAATGTACTCAATGTTATATTTGTACTGCATTTATGTGCATATTTATCGAGTGTACTGCATGTTGTTGTTTATGTTTTATATAAGTTGCTAGAACAACATATTATATTATTGAATTAATAAATTGTTCGAAAAAATCAATCTTGCTTTGAGTCTGAAATAATTGAACACTTGTCTCGAATCAAAATTTTCTAATTCCTATATCTTTACAACCTTGTGCAGTTAACCTTTTATTCTATAATCTGTTGAGGTTTTGACATAGCATTTATTGTCTGAGATAGCTAAGGTCTTCGACAAGTTGTTTCAAAGACATGAGCATTAAAAATTAGAGTTTGAGGAGATCAGTTCCTTTAAAAAAGTATTTTTTGGGTGTACTGCACACTCACAGTGAACTTAGAGGAAGGTTTTGGGTGTAGTGCACACTCACAGTGCACTTAGAGAAAGGTTTTGGGTGTTATGCACACTCACAGTGCACTTAGAGAAAGGTTTTGGGTGTACTGCACACTCATAGTGCACTTAGAGAAAGGTTTTGTGAAAGATAAACTTTTAAACAAGAGATTTTTCAGAATTGACACTTTGAACATGACCACCCAAAAAACTTAGAAGTTGCGCGTCACAGGACATTAATGTCTATATCATCTCTAAACCTATAACTGGTAAAAATATTTGTAATTTGGTTTCAAGATTAAGTTAATAGTACGTTCAACAAGTTAAGAGTACGTTCAACAAGTTAAAAGTACGTTCAACAAGTTAAAAGTACGTTCAACAAGTTAAAAGTACGTTCAACAAGTTAAAAGTACGTTCAACAAGTTAAAAGTACGTTTAAGGCACAGCCGGATTCATCAACAAGCAAAGTTGTTTAGTAAGATTGCTTACTCTCAATGCGTTCCAGGG